TCCATGTCAAATGAGCAAGAAAATCAAGATTTTCATCCGACCCCTTTCAATTTCGATAAAAAGCTATAGACTGGTTATATATGCTCACATTAGATCATAAACAATTGGAAAATCATGTATTTTGATATAAATTGATTAAAAAAACAAATATTCTTAAATACATCTAAAAAAGATAAATATTAATAAAAAATATGAAAAAATTACCAATTATTGCATTTTAAATGAATTTTGCTTCAAAAATGCTCAATTCAAAAAGAGTACAAATTAAAAAAGTGGATACAGATATCTGATTTTAGTATAAATTGATCATAAATGCATAAAATATTACTAAATACAACTAAAAAAAATAAATATTACCTTAATTTTGCTTTAAAAATGCTTTTGCATAGAAAATTCAATAAAAGTGTATAAATTAAAAAGTTCAAAAATATCTGTACTAACTTTTTTAATTTATAGATTTTGGTTGAATTTTCATGGCATAGAGTACTTTTGAAACATAATTAGAATTAATATATAATCTTGAGCATATTTGAAGCAAAATTATATAAAATTTATCTTCTAAAGTTAATAATTTTGATAGTAATTTAAATTGAAAACTTAAGGCCCCCAAAACGAAATTCTTTACCATTTTTCTCAAAAACCAATCGATAAATAATTATAAAAATTGGTAAATTTATAAAGAAATATAAGTTTAGCACTATCACCAATTTTCAGGGATTTTTATTTAATACTTTTTAAAATATATCCGTATAAAGACCTAAATTTTACCATTTTTGAGATTTCGAAAAGTTGTCTATACGGTAATATTTTTAAAACTTGACGTGTAGGGAAAATTTGGAAAACGGATTCGAACTCAGCGTCAAATTCTGCATCAAAACTTGTTTTTATTTTCTTCTCCCATTTTTCTTGTCACACAGTGTAATTGATAATTATGGCGAAAACATCAAAATTAATTTTTTTTAAATGTGGGTTATCTTATGGTCAATCTTTCGAAATGAATATGATCTCCGATTTTTAATTTTTTGAAGAAATATTATTCGTTTACTATTTTTTTAATAATATTTTCAACAATTAACTTGGCTGGATATTTATTTTAAAAATTATTGCGATTTTATACTTTTTAAAAAATAGATAGCGCTATATATAATAGTTTTAATATGTTAAAATTCATTTTTTTTATTGATTAAAAATATTATTAAGTATAATTTATCAAAAAATTCGGTTATATAACTTTGTAAACTTCATTCCCCTGAGATATTCGCAGGATAAAAAATTTTAATAATTTTTTTAATATATAAATGTAAATAATAAAAAAAAATCTGACTAGCACACGAATAAAAAAGCAGGATTAAAGGAGTGCGGGAAAATTATTAAGGGAAAAGAAAATCACATTAATTACCAGGCCTAAGATTCTTTTATGGAATTATCATTATCTTAAATTATTATAATAACCAGAGATAAAGAAAATTTTCGAAGATTTTGAAAAAATTTTTAAGCAATAAAAATAACAAAAAATTAACTTTATAAAATTTTGGGTATCAAATGAATTTGAGCATTCTCTATAAAATCAAAATTTCTATGATCAAAGTCTTTGAATTTTGAGCAAATGTTTATCACTAAAAAAATTAATCAAATAAGCCAGATGTTTTTATCTTTTATTATATAAAAATAAACTGATTACTAAAATTAATAAGCGAAATAAATCGTGAAAACACAAACAATAAATCGCAGTTGTTAAAAAACAAATTGATTTCTTTAATATTTTTTGCAAATTGTAAAAATAATACTATATTTCTTTAACAATAATTAAAAAAATTAATTTTTTATATTTTTACTTGTCTTTAAAAATAAATAAATTTTTTTAAATGAAACTTTTAAAAGATAAGCTAAAGTGTTGCAATCCACTAAATAAACAAAACATAAAAATTTTAAAAAGAATTTATCTGTACTACCTTGGATGCTTAATATAAATAGTTATTTATATCTTAAACAAAAAATATGTAATTCGTGCCGCTACCAGTTAAGTAAAATTGGTCCACACATTTTCTAAGAATTTATATCCCCAATAACCTATAATCAGGATGCCTTTGAATCGATTAATGATTACACAATATTGGAGAATCACCAATTAAAAGAAAACTTATAATGGAGAAAAAATAACCCAAAAATAAAATTTAAAAGATTGATAAAGCATTTAGAAATATCTGATTCCGAGAATTATAGTCCAATGAAAGAGGAAATTCTCATTATATTAAAAGATAACTTTGATAAATTATCAAAAAAACAATATCAAATTCTTACAATTTTGCTTCAAAGATAGAGTGTAAATAAATTTCAAGAGGAATTCAACATAACATCCATGACAAGAAAATCCAAAATGATGGTATAAGAAAGTGGAATTCTTTCCCAAAACATAATGCAGGAAAGACACTAAAAGAAAAAACATTTAAACTCGTCAAGAATTTTTATAGTTCTGATGAAATAAGCCGACTCATGCCCGGAATGAAAGATTGTGTACTGTTAAAGGCGAGAAAGAACCAGTCCAAAAAAGACTAATATTGAATAATCTAAAAGAAATATTCAAGATGTTTAAGGAAGAATACCCAAATATATCAATTGTATTCTCTAAGTTTGCCGTTAGGCCAAAAAACTGTATTTTAGTGGAGCTAGTGGCACACACTGTTTGTGTGCGCCATTCATCAGAATGTGAAATTAATGACAAATATAATTGAAATCATAGCAGTAGAAGATTACTGTATAAATTCTTATAACTATCTTTTGGCGCAAATTATTGGTAATCCCTCTCAGCCAAAATGTTATTTAACAAATTGTGACCTGGTATAGAATCTCTTAAGGGCCAATATACCAATTGTTTCAGAGAAATCATCTAGAATATGTTACTTTTAAACAATGGATCACGGTGGATAGAGCAAATCTTGGAAATATTATAAAGTCCTTTGATGATTTCATCGATTATCTATTAGAAAAAGTTCAAATTTCACTGTGTCACTCTTTTATAGCTAAACAACAAACTTATTTTTGAAGATTAAAGAAAATTTAAAAGATAAGGAATTTTTAACAATTCTAGATTATTCAGAAAAATATTCCTTTATTTTACAAAATGAAATTCAGGGATTTCATTTGAACAACGTGCAGGCCACTATACACCATATTATAAATCTGGAGAAGATTTAAAATATATTAATTTTGTTATTATATCCTAATCATTAAACCATTATTAATTTCTTAACAGCCATATTTTAATTCTAAACCAGAAAAAATAATAATTTTTAAGATGTAGCCGCGTCTCAATATAAGAATCGCAAAAATTTTCTGAACATATGCCTTCATAAATACGATTTTAATATTTCAGCCGAATGACATTTTTCGCCACTGCTCACGGCAAAAATGCATGTGACGATATCGGAGGAACTGTCAAACGATTAGTTGTCAGATCTAGTCTTCAAAGGCTAAATAAAAATCAAATCCTAACCCCATTAGAATTATATAATTATGCTAAAGAAAATATTAATGAAATTCAATTTGTATATGTATCCAATCAAGAATATATAGAAGGGGAATTAGCCCTAAGATTTAATTCTGCACCGTCCATACATGGGACCCGAAAAATTCACGGGGTTATTCCCATTGATCAAAATAGACTAAAAACTAAAATATATTCAAATTCCAAAAAATATAATATAAAACAAGTTTCGTTTATAAATGAGAAAATTATATTTAAAAATATTAATGGATATGTAACATGTGTATATGATGACAAATGGTGGTTAGGATTTATAATCGATAAAAATGAAGAAGTAAAAATCCGATTTTTACACCCTTGTGAACCTTCAGCCTCATTTAAATTTCCTCTGATAGATGATATTTTAGTGTTGCCAAAATCTATTCTCTTGCTGGTCAATCCTTCTACTCCCACCGGTCGAACATATATAATATCTCCTGAAGAAATACAAGCTAGCCAATCTTTGTATTCCTTTAGATGAAGTAAGATTTAATTAATTTATAAACTATCTTAATTAGGCAAAATTTGTGAAGATTTTAAAAATTTTATGATCTGAATTACCAATAAATATATATAATGCACATTGTAATTTAATATGATATATATACATTAAAATATTTTTAATCAATAAAAAAAATGAATTTTAACATAAAAACTATTATATATATAGCGCCATTAGTAAACGAATAATATTTGTTAGAGATTAAAAATTGGAGATCATATACATTTCGAAATATTAATTTCAAGTTTTCAACTGACCATAAGATGACCCATATTTTATCAAAAATCAATTTTGATGTTTTCGCCATAATCATCAATTATTAACTTAGCTATTGAATTAAATTCAATATTTGATCATATTTAGTTTTAAATTAAAAACTAGTTATTTAACATCAGTAAAAAACAAAAAAAGACGTTTTTTGGACCTTTAAACCCGATTATCTCCACTAATATAGTTGCTAATGCGTTAAAATTTTGTCTATGATCTATTGTGTATTTATATAACCAGCCTACAATTTTTTATCGAAATTGAAAGTGGTCGGCAGAAAAGTGATTGATCTGACATGGAATGACCCTTTATATATGAATCAATATGATAGTATTAAAATACATCTGGTATTATATAAGATAACCTCAAACAATGAATTACTATTCTGATTGTCACGGTACTATACATAATGGAAAATAATGTCATCATCCTGGTATACAAAGGAAAAAGTATGAAATGAGAATTTTGTGTAATTCGTTCATTTCCTATAAAAAATTAAATTAAGTTTTATTTTACATTTTTGTTTGTCTTCCTTATATCAGATTGATATTTATGTTTAGATTCAATATTACATCAAAATTATGATTTTTATCAAATTTATTGATTTTAAATAATAAGATATTTGAAACCTAATCCTTCGAAACGAAAATATATTAACGATTATTTAGTATTTACCAAAATAATTACAATTTAATATATTTTTATTAGGTTTTAGATATTTACGAGCACCTTTGATTAGAAACCAATTTCAAAAAAATGAAAGTTCCAGCAAATATGGTGGCATGAGCATACAACAACGTTATACACAACATAAGGTTAAAATTTTCCATAGTTTGTTGGATGCTTAATTTACAAAATACATGATGTTAATTTGCTATCATTTAGTGATAAATTGTTCATCGCGGTTTTTCGCGCATATAAACTAGGCCTTAGTTTAATTTAGTTGTATTGGGATATATTTAATTATAATTAGGGTTGGTAGGACTTAATTAAATTATTTTTTGTATAAAAAATACGAGCTTTTTTTATTCATTTAACCATCATAAATTTTAATTAATGACTAATTTTTTTATTATAAATAGTTTTCTATGTTGTGTTATTCATGATGATTATTTATATTGTGGGGACCTATGCAATTTAATTTTTTAATCCTAACTCAATTAGTTCTGGAGATATGACGGGTCAAAGCTAAAAAATCTTCAGCCGATAAAAATAAATATTCAAAAAATATGAATAACTAGATAGCCCTTAAATAAGAGGTCTGCTTTAGGCGGGTTTTTGGACCATACGCCCGCCCACCTAATGTTTAAAAAAATTAAACTCGCCCACCAAATCCGCCCATAGTTTTCAAAAAAATAAACCCACCCGCCCATTAGTCTAAAATTCCTTACTCGCCCGCCCACCCATTAGCCTAAAAAATTTTACCCCCCCCCCTTTCATTCCCCTCACTCATAAATTTTTTTAACTCAAGCCCGCTATTATAAAATTTAATTATGGCCATTATTTCAATTTTTCAAGCATCTAATTAAAAAAAATTCAGCATTTATTTCTTTAAACAGTTTTATAATTTAGAAAAATACTATATAAAGCATAAAAAATATTCAATTTAAATTATGGATAATTTATTTGATCAAATAAAATATGAAAAAAATATAAATATAAAATTGATATTAGGGATGTACCGATACCACTTTTTGGAGGCGGATCCGATATCATAATTTTGTATTCTATAAATATACCAATGCTTTTAATTTTTAATAACTTTTTATTAGTATAACATCTATAATTTAACTATGCATGTCATTTAAATATATTATAATGGTCAGTTATTATAGCTTAAGCTTATATTCAATTCAATAAGTATATAAAATATTTTTATTGATAAATCACATATTTATATAAAAAGTAATAACATTAATCTATTTACAAAATAAAATAAGTAATAAACACATATATTATAATATTTAAAATTAATATATCTAAGATTTCTTTTTAGAAATAACAAAATTTCTAATTTATCTGAGGTCAGTCTGCGGCGATGGGGACTGTCAATATCACCAGCTTCACTAAAAACAGATTCAGATGAGATACTTGTGGCAGGTGTTGCTAGATATTGACGAGCAAGTTTAGATAGGGTTGGATATTTTTGGCAATTCACAGCCCAATATTTCAATGGATCCGTAGGGGTATTATCATTTAGTGCTTTGAAAACTGGTTCATTGAGATAGTTTTCAATCTCAAGGGAATAAGGACAATTTACACCGGTAATGTTATTAGATTTCTCGTTATCTTTAACCACATCAGCATAAGATCCCCACAAATTAAATATGCCAGTTGAATCCATTGCTGATGTTGATGGAATTTCTTTTATCTCCATATTTTGATTATCCTTTTCTAAATTGTTTAAATTATAAAATTTAAATGAAATATTTATTAAAATGATTTAATTCTTTACCTAGGCTGGATGAATTAATTATCTCACCAGGATTACTGTCAAAGCATACTAGAAGTAGTTTTTGTCTATAAAAGTTAGATATCGATTGAATTGAAAAAAAGATGGTTTTAAATCGTGGATCCAAAATTGTTGCTATAAAGTATATTTTAATCATTATAAATAGAGGAAAAACGTTTGGTAAGATCTTTATACATAGCATCCTTCATAGTTTGGACACCTTTATCATACTCACCATGACTAGTAAGCTCCTTTTTAAGTAATTCTACAAATGGAATTACTATGCTAATAGATGCTTTTTCTCCACTAATTTCTTTAGTGATGCGTTGAATTGGTAATAGAGCCAGATTTACCTTTTTTGCTAAACACCACTCATTTGGAGTTAACATATTGAGGGTAAAATCATTACAATAAATAAGTAAGGCTTTTTTTGCTCCAGGAGTCTTTCTAGCATATAAAAGGTCGAATCCCACCTTATGTCAACATCTTGAATAAGTTTGTGGGTGGGTAAATTTAATTGCTTTTGGATAATTTTGAGTCTATTGTTAGCAATAGATGAATGATTAAAATGACCAGTAACCTTTCTTGCTCGAGATAACATATCAATAATAGCTCTCTTTGTAAAAACTCCTTTTACTACTAATTGTAGGGAGTGGGCAAAACATGAAACAGATGAATAATTCCCTAAATAAGGTTTGTAAATATATATATAATTTAATTACCTAAATTGCAAGCAGATTTTATATTTGGCGCATTATCACGTACAATAGCATGAATTTTACATTTACTGATATTCCAACTGGTCAACATTTTGTTCATAATATCGGCAATATTTTGTCCAGTGTGTGAATCATTGAAAGTTGCAACATGAAGTAATCTTGCAATTGGTTCAAAATTTTCATTAATCAGATGACAAGTCAAGCTAATATGTGAATCCGACCCAGAACATCTAGACCATATATCACTTGTAAAACTAAAGGGAATTTTTTCCCTATCATATTGACATTTAATTTTATTAAATATATCTTGATATATTTCGTTGGTTAATTTTTCCGAAAAATATTTTCTAGATGGAATTTTGTAGTTTCCACATAGATGATTCATTAGTCGATTAAAGCCAATATCCATTACAATAGAAAACGGCTGATTATCTACGGCTATCATATGGTTTATATGCATCGATATCGCTTTGGATCTTGGGTCATCAATGTCCCATATTGTCTGCTTATTTAACAGACCTGGCAAAGTTTTTTGGTTAAATTTAGATTTTATTTTAATTTGATCTTTTTCCATTTTTTTCTATTTTCTTTAGTTAATAGAAGTTCAAATGCATTTTTATGATTATTCTCGAGATGCTTCCTCAAATTTGTGGTGTTGTAAGACTTTTGACATTTACCACCTCTGGAAATTTTATCGGTACAAGAGTCAACTTTACATTTAGCAAAATTAGAACATGGCGAATCCAATTTAAAATAATCCCATATAAGCGAATAAGAAGCCATTATTTTACTAATTTTAATACCGGAAATTTATGTAATATGCGAAATAAAACAATAGATTATATAATGAAATGTATAAAAAAATTTTATTTATAAACATATTCCAAATAATATTAAATAAAAGAAAAGATTATTTTAAAAATTATCGCACACTTATAAACAGAATGAGAAAAAAAAATAACAATATGGCAAAATGTTTAATTAATTATTATTAAAAAAATAAACATAAAAATGGATTTCAATTTATTTATAAAAATAAACATAAAAATGGATTTCGATTTTTTTATAAAAATAAATGGGTTTTATAAAAAAAAGCCATTTTTTATAAAAAATAAATGGGTTTTTTCAAAAACGCCATTTTTTATCGGATCGGAATTTTTTTAGTATTGGCCGATAACCGATATTTAAAAATGGGCGAAATATCGGCCCGATCCGATCCGATAAAAAATATCGGTACATCCCTAATTGATATTATAAGTAATAATAATGAATCGACATTTTCTGGATTCAAACACGTCTTTGTTCTATAAAACTTCCAGCAATGCTAAATCTTCGTTTAGAAGAAGCACTAGTTCCAGGAATTGCCAATATTTTTCTTGATAATCATGATAGCTTTGGCAAATTTCTTTCTTGTCGTTTCCACCAAAGTAGTTTTAAATATCTAAAAAAGTTCATGTTACTTATAATGATTATAATATAGAAGAATCTAAACTGTGTAAAAGATTTAGTAAAGCAGATAAACTAGTTGAATTAGAGCTTAAAAAATTAATTTGCTACAACATATATAATTATCTTGCAGATTCATTCGATTTGAAAGAGGTCCACGAAAATGGGCATATTTGTCATAGAATGATTTTTATATTTATTTTAGCCATTTAATAAATCATGAAATTAAATCAGGTTTATAAAAATTTAAATTATTTTATGATGATTATTTTTTAGTCTTAAATATTGCTAAATATTTATTGTAATAAAATTAATATATGTTAGATAAGTTGCTTTGACTTATTTTTTTCTAGGATATTTTTTAAAATATTTTATTATATATTTAATTTAAATTTATCAACTCTAATTATACCATATATATCGGAGACCTGCTGGTTTGGCCCGGCCTACAGGCCGTATTTTAATTATTTTTAAAATACACAAGCTGGACGTATAAAAATTTTTTTAAAAATACCAGGGCCGAATATTTTTAATTTCCATTTATATCTATAAAAAGTAAAAATAAATGTAATATATTTTAAAAATCTGGGCGGGGCCTGAAAATATAAAACCTGAACTGGGCCTATTAAAAATTTTTTAAAAAGAAATCCGTGCCACAATGGTACCTCAGCAAATATTTTATATGTATAAAAATATGTAGGTGGCATGAGATGGGATGCATATTTAAAATAATGTCTGTTTAATATCAACCATTATCTTCATTTAATATGTGAAAAGTTATAATTTTTATGTTATTTACAAAATGTTTTGTAAAACAGGATAGGAATTCCATTTATTAAACTGTTATTTTATAAAAGGCGATAATTTTTTTTAATCCAGGGTGTATTTGAATCATTTATTTTTTAAAAAAATTTTGTATGATCAAAGCTTTAAACATGGGGGTTATAAAATTTTTATACTTATTTATATGATTTCTTTGTTTATTTTTAATTAACAAGAAAAATTAAATTTTTAACACTTTACACAGAGTTGTTCATATTTTAACATCCTAGCCCATATAATTTTGTAGTTATTAAGGGTCAAAATATGGGTAATGACCTATTTTTACTTTTATCGACTGTCAATCATAAAGTATATACATTCTATTTTTATGGTGGTCTATTTAACTCTATTTCAAAATTCTTGAAATTAAAATTTTCATGTTATAAAATCGATCTATATTTGTATAAAAAAATTGAAATGCTATGTTGCTTTCATGGTAAAAATCGATAAAAACATTAAGAGTTCATTTTTGATATTTTTACTTTTGATATGATATCTCCAAAAATATAAGAGTTAGGAAGCTAAATTAAAAGTTTTATAAAAATATTTTGAGTAAAATATCAAGTGTGTTGTTGAGTGATAACTTTTGATAATTATTTGGCATCTTCCTATGCGAATGAATTTTTAATAGGATTATATTTCCAGTAATTTATTTTTTTTCGAAATCGCCTTTTTTAAATATATTTAAAATGGAATTCATATGCATATGATTTATTGATAATTAGTTTAAAATATTTTTAAGATATTTAGTTTATATCACGACCTATTTTTTTACACTAAATTATTAATTAATGCTTTTTAGAGAACTAATTACGGAAACAACTATCTCAATGCAAAACAATCATATGCTGTTGGTTATAATGAAAAGCTACGTTTTTCTGATAAACATCGAGACGAAAGGCCAGATTACAGTAACTATAAACTTCCTTACCAAGACACAGATGCACCAATCCGAAGCATCGTTACCAAAGTAGACAAGCCTGCTTATTTCTCCAGATTTGTGCCTGATAGACATAATGAACCTATATCTATTAATTATGGTTACAATACACGAGGCGGTAATTTTTCGCGTGTTACTCCAAGAATGAGAAACAACGATCGATATGGAGAAAAGGAGAGAGGTGCCGATTCCTCTCAACGATATTACTCTGCAAGGTTAAAAAAGGAGAGAACAGACGATTCCTTTCAACGATACGACTCCATTAGGTTAAGCAGTAAACGTGCAAGTCCTTTTCATTACAAAGATGGGAATAGAAGAATTCTAGAAGAGACAAAAAACATTGATCGTTTTGCAATCACTCCTAGGTCCAAAGTTTATTCAGATGAAACTAGATACAGGTTACAAGCACAATAAGCAAATGCAATTCTTATCAATGAAAATTTTTATATTTTGAACAGACTCTCTTATGTAGATGGCCAGGCAACATCTCTACACAAGAAACAGAACAGGCAATTTTCTCCACCACCAAATCTAAAACGTTCGATGGTCTCTCAGCATTATCTCTCACAACCGCATACTCATTATGGCCGAGAAATCGGTAGGGATAATGATAAAAAGTATTATCAAGCTCTTGTGCCTCCTCACCACTTACCAACCATTTCTCATTACGATGCTCGTAAATACTCTGTAAAAGTTAATGATTACATACCTGCACCACTAACGTCTAATACAGCCCAGCGTGTTAGGAGAAAAAGTCAATCACCCTCACAGATGGATCGTTCCCATCGTTACACCAACAATGCCACTGGTAGTAACAAAAAGAGGTTTTGCAATGAAGAAATAATACCTAGATTGTCGCCACAATCAGTTAGGAACCATGCTCAAGTTAAGCGTAGATCGGGGATTGAACCTTTCAGATATACATATGGAGATCACCCAATGGATAATTCGAGCAGTTTGGCTAGTCTAATCTTGAACAATAACCCCAGCAATGATAGATATGGTCATCGACCTCATACTTATTTTCGATCAAACAAACCATCCTCACCCCCTACTTCCTCAATTCCCTCTCACCTTCATAGTAGAAATAGCCGACGTCAAGATGTTGTATACAATCAAAGAGAGAGATTGCATAAACGTTAATATGTATGATGAAAAGATTTATGAAGCCAATGGATATATTTTAATGCTTTATGTATCTATATCATATAATTAGATGTAAGAAGTTAATAAACATTATTTTAAAAATTAATTAAATTTATATTTTTTTATTTGTATTTAGTCATGATAAAAATAAATAAAATATAGGGATATTTATACATTTATTTTCTTTATTTCAAGACTGTACAGATCTATTTTTTCCTCTCCATTTTTGATACGCTATTTTTATTGATTTATAATAACTATGAACATTGCATAACACCTATTTGAGAAACTTTTATCGCTTATTATAGAGAATCCACATTTGCAAATACAGTGCCACGAAATTATCGGGCTTGTGTTTTAGGAAAATATCAAAATATATAATGATTACATTTTACTTTTTTATTTTTTCTATTTGGAAATTCTTAAATTGGAATATTTTTTTATTTTTGAGATTTTGATATATTTTGTTATTTTTGTCAATCACTTTATTGCAAAGAAAAATGTTGTGTTCGCTTCTTTTATTAAGAAAATGATAATAAGTAATGAGTAATTTATAACTTTATAAAAATGCGTTTAATTTATATTTATTAATTTAAGAATTTTAAGCTTAGATTTTTATAAGTATTTTGGGTACCGGTCTAAAAAAAATTAGAGACTTCTTGATATTAAAGATTCAGGACGGACACCTACCTTTTATATTTAAATCGGATCCTACCTATAAATAAAAACTTGGATATTGTTTTTGATTATTTTTGTAATGTATAATTTTTTATTTTGCAAATTTCCTCTTACAGTGAAAGATGCGATTTTTTATAGCACATCTTATTTTAGGCTATGTCATAAATATCAAAAGTATAATTAATGAACTTTCGTAACTTTAACTAAAAAGAAATAAGCTATTTTTGATAAAAATAGTGGCCTATTCGAATATTCGTAAGTTAGAATTTTTACAAAAAAATACTTAAAGACCTGGAATTTACTTCGGACCCCGATAAAAATAAGCGGCGCGTCGGCGACGGTTCGGCCTGTGGAATTTTTAGAATGCTATTTAATTATATTCATATATTAAATTTTTATTTAAATTTGAATATTAAAATTAATAAAATATGAATTGTTGTGGTAATATAAAATCTAATCGGGCAAAATTTATTTAGACTTAATGCTATTTGATTCTATAAACAAAAAGGAGTGATTGATGAACTGATTTTCTAAAGGTTGAAATTTAAATAAAATGATTATTAAAAAATAAATTGTCTAAAAAATGGAATATAAGATAATTGATTCCTCATCAGAATTCACTGCTAGGACAACCATTATTCGGGGTGCATTCATCTATAAAGGAACATGTAAATCTGATCCTGGATCAAAATTATTTTCTATCACTTTTGATATATGGACACATCATTTCAATCGTTAAAATTATATCACGTTTAGTCTTCATCATTTAAATAAAAAAATTTAATTTAAATATTTTACCCTGGCAACTAGAAACCTAACCCAAAATATACTGGTGTGAAACCATTTTATCTGAGATTGAGAGTATAGAAGTTGAATCCATTTAGAAAATAAGATAATAGAGATGGTAACTAATACCGGGGCAAATGTCAAAATTTAGATTGGGAGATTAGGGCATTGACTTCATAATTTAGTTATAGTTGATGGCATAGAAAAATGATTAACATTCTGATAAAAAAAATTAGAGAAATAATTTCAGCCTTTAGAGATCGAGTTGATTTAAAATGTGAAATTAGGTTGAGTTTCATAAATGTCTGCAACCAATTTACAAGGTAGGCCATATTTTGGATATTGATGATTCTGATCCATACCTTGATGAACATTTTGATATCTCTGGTGATGCTGATAATATACAACAGATCTAATTAATGCGAAAACTTTATAATTAATTGCCCAATCCTCAGCATATTCATTATGCTAGAAGGTATCCATATAGTAAACAAGATTGTTTTAAATAATGTTCCAAATAAAATAGAAAAATAATCCTTAATACTTTTAAATATAGAATGAGGTTTAAAAACGAACTTTACATGATAGAAGTACATTAACAAAATAAATTTGATCCTCAGATATCATTTCCCTCAAAGAAAATATGCAAAAAATGCTTGGGTTTCCAATTTCCAAACTTCAAGTAATTTATATTATATTTTAAACATGAGATATTAGCGAGACACTACTTGATCCGAGATTTCAAAATCTTTAAATTATTTAAATTCGAATTCTACAACACCATTTCAATTTTTAATTAGACATTTAAAACTTTTAGTCCATGATAGAAATGAACAAAGTGAGATTCAAATTGATAATAGACAAACATCCAGTTCATATGAAGCTAAAATAATTCGTAAAAGTTTTTTTTCAAGCAATGATTATAACAACATTAGTGATATAAAACAAGAATGTCATCCTTGCTCAATCAACATAGTATACCAGAAGAGGATGTACTAACTTTTTGGAGGAAAAAGCTACTGGTACTTTATAAGCTTGCTAATTTAGATAGGAAGGTTCTTTGTATACCTGCCACCAGTACACCCAGCGAAAGAATTTTTTCCATCGCGGGTTTAATACTTAATTCAAAAGGGACTTGTTTATGTCCCACGAATCTTGATAATACTATTTATTCATGAAACTTGTAATTTTACTAAATTTGATTTCTAATTGAATTTCTTACTTTATATTTTGCTTGCGTTTCAAATTTATATTCTAATTTGTTTTATATAGAATATGACTGATCTGAGTTAAAGTGCAATTACTTACTTTTTTACTGAGAAGGAGAAAATACATAAATTTAAATAGGAGTGAAACAGGAAATAATTTAAGAAATGAATTAATATTAAAAATGTTTTAGAACTAAGAGCGCTCAAATATATTATAAGAAAATTAGCGGCGCGCCGTCGAGCACCGATAAAAATTTTTTAAAAAGACCGCAGTGTCAATTAAGGCTTCGGTGCACAAGTCTAACAATAATATTTGAATTTTTTAAATTGTAAAGAAATGGTCTGTTATATTAATCAAATGAAAAGTATTTAAATTAAATGATTAGTATAAAAATAATTTTGTAGGAATAGTAAATTTTAAAATTTATAATAGAAGATGACATCTTTCATAATTTTATAGTGTTGAGATTTTAAAAAGATAAATTAGTAGCATATTTATTTCTGATATAAATGTTGTAATATTTTAATGAAAAATGTCTTATTTAAATTAGAAGAATTATTATGATATTATTTAATTTTATCGACTATGTAAATTTTTTATAACAATTTACATTCCTTTTATATCGGGAATAATTTTTATATTATAAAACTACATAAAATATTTAAAAAAATATACCTCATTCTATAAAAACGGAGGTGGGACTACAGGTTCCCTAAAAACATGAATAATTGTAATTAATAATAATTTATATATTTTGTTTAAAAAAATAATATTCTTTAGGTTCTGATGTAAGGGCTCTTATTTTGCAATCTATATTTTTTAAAAATTTTAAAGTTCCACTTGTCCAAGGGAAGAGATATTGGTAAAAAAATATAATTTGTTAATTTGGAATATTTAATTGATTTTTTTACTCTATATCAACCGGGTCAGAATTTAAATTTTTTGGAAATGAAAATAGGCACGTGAAGTCCCAAATTAAGGATTTCTTTAAAGACCAAGGCACAAATTAAGCCAGGTCATAGGCGTAGCCAGGATTTTCCTAGGGGGGAGGATTAAAAAATTACTGCCCCCCCCCCAGACCCCATTTGGGCGGGCCTTCGGCCCGCTTTTGCCCGGCCTTAGGCCGGGTTACTTAGTCTATATATAGTTATAAAATATTTTTACAAGATAGGGGGTTAATTATAATAAAAAATAAGCCTGGAACAAATATGAAATATATTTTTATTAGTTTATATAAAATAGAATAAATTACTTGTATATACATTAATATAAAAGCATGGTAATAATTTATTCCAAACAAGTATAAGAAATTTATATTGATAAAAATTTATCTAACTCACGTATGATGCTGATATCAATTGTGGCTAATCTATTTAATTCTTGCTTGCTAAACAAGTACAACTATATTTCAGAATATGATTTTAAGAAACTCTGTATCATGATAAACAGAATTCCATCTAATTATTCTCGCTATTACATCTTGTTTAAGGGTGTTTGCTATTAGCTGTAGATTGTTTGAAATAATGTACTATTTTTTTACACCATTTATATTTTTGGCTATTTCAGTTAAACAATTGTCAAAAATATAATGCATAATATTATTTAGTATATGGCATATACATGCAAGCATGTCGTCAACTTTGAATGCACTTATAAGATTTGCGCCGTTTAGAGACCTTCATGGGCCTAGATTTTAGGACCAAACTCGGCCCAGGCCCATCGTAAAAAAAAATTTTAAGCCCAGGCCCTTGTAATGTTTTAAAAATACTCCATTTTTTTATATACTCCAATATTTAGTGATATTGACGTTTATGTCTGACGTGCATATATTAAATATTACATTTTTAGTGATATTGACGTTTATGACTGACATATAAATATTAAATATAATAAATTTAGTGAATTGGCATTTATAACTGACATATGAATAATAAATATTATTTTTTCTATGTCCTATGATATTTAAGGCAATTTTGCCTTATTCTCTTTAGAAATTATTAAATTTAATATTAAGTGTTAAAAATTTATATATTTATTTAAGGTTTAATTCGAAAATATCAAAGATTAACATATAAATCTTGCACTATCTATTATCACGTTACTGCTCAAAGTTAGAAACAATTTTCAGAATAATTTATTAAAATCCTTTATTTAATTTGTAAATATAAAGATCAAAAAAATCAATTAATTATATATGCGATATAAATAATATATGCTATATGCGATATAAATAATATATGCGATATAAATATTAATTATAATTATGCGATCAAAATGTTCGCTATGATTTATTAAATAAATATTTACATTAAATTTTTTAATATTACTTAATTTTTTAATGGGCATATAGTATGCCCATTTATAAATAGTATGTATTAAAATATTTGTCTGGAGCATAGTTGCCATTGCAACTATCTCCACCTCTGTACCATAAACGGCATTTTGAGCCATGCCCGTCCTCTCCAGGTACGCGTCAACAGGTTCTCCCAGAAACCCCCCCATCTGCTCTGCCATGTCTTTACTTTTCATAAAGCGCACACATTCCGATCTCAGGAAGTGATCTTGGCATTCATCCTCGCAAATTTCTTTGCTTATACATCTATAATAATGATTAACAATTTAATTTATTTTATTTATCCATACCTGAAAAGACAATTACCATCGCCAATTATCCTTTCAGTGGAAAAATTTTCACTCATGATGCCATTTTTAAATTTGGGATATCTTTTCTTGATATCCCAATTATAGCGAAGTGAGTGGTATATTTTCCAATTCCTATTTGTAGGAATAAAAAGATTTTTGACATCTTTTTTAGAAACCACTGTCTCTAATATAATTTCATCATCTATATGTATAAATCTACTAATTATGCAAATTTATACCGTTCCTATTGAGCTTGTCTACTTCGCCATCTACAATCTTCAAGTTGGAAGGCGGGGCACCTATTAAATTAAAAAATTAATTTTATCAAATCTTAAAAATGTTACCAAAAGGTCGAATGTCATCAGGCTCTAGCATTTTCGATGCTTTTTCTGGTGTCTTAACTCCATCATCTAAAAAAATATGTATATTATTATGATTCATATATTATGGCATTTATGAATACCTTTATTAATAGTCCCTAATAAAACATGAATTTGTTAAATATTGGAAGTATTTGTGTAAATAAAATTTGTTTTTATATTATTTTAAACATAATCTAAATATTTTACCTATCAGCCAATTTTTTGTGAGTCTTGGTGATACCAAAATGGGCAGCAAGTGATGTAGCTTCAATATTGGTATCACAACCACCGTGGACTGTTTTTATAAGCTCCTTTCTTTTTATAGAGTCGATAATTACTTCACCATTGTGGGAATGGTGAAATAATTTACCATTGAGCATTTTATATCTAGCGGCTTTGACACGGAAATTTTTTTTTCTCCATGGTTGCCAGCTAAATATAGTGGATACTTCTTGTGTAAAATGAAGTTTTTTATTTCTTCAAAATCTTTTATATTTAAAAATATGAAATAAAAAATAAATTTAAAGAAATAAATATTATATATAAAAATAAGAAATAAATAATATATTTAAAAATAATAAATAAATAATATATTTAAAAATAAGAAATAATATAATTAAAAATAAGAAATAAATACTTGTTTCTAAATCTAATGTCATTTGCAAATACAGGAAATACAACTAAAAATTATCTTAAATATAGAAATAAATAATAAATTTTCTTAAAAATATAGAAATAAATAATAAGTTATGTGATACGTGATATATTGCGGATACAACAGAGCTACGCTAGGTTTTCCTCAAAAAAACCATCAAACTGGAAAATTAATTTGGGGGAAGAAAATGAGGAGTCCTTCACACGTTTGTGGGCAAGCCGCACGTACTTGTACGCACAACAGTTCGAAAACTGTTGTTTAAACGTCTATAAGCTAATAACAAAAGAAGTTGGACAAAACAAAAGCCTATACCCGAGAATTACAAGATAATTTAATTATTTTAAGGGTGGGAGGTGGCTGATTTTAAGCTTAAAATCTACTATAGATATTTTGATTAATATTTTCATATCAATTGCAAAATAACCTAAAAGAGAAAAAGAAATTAAGTATATATTATTTAACTTCTTGTGAATATTTCAATTTGGTTAATATGGTTATAACATAATGTAATGTTAAAATACCTAATTATAAAACAATATATATAGAATAAAAAAAAATTGATAAAAAGATTTTAATAATATTTTAAATCTTTAATAAAAAGTTTTAATGAACAAATCTTAATAATATTTGGAGCCTTTAAAATTCAAAAAATATAAATGTAGTTTGGCAACTAAGAGTTATTTAAAACACTTGTGTACCTTTTAATGATGAAATAATGGGTTGCTTGTAAGTTGTAGCAAAAGTATAATGTCAAAAAGGTAACAAGAAAATAAACTAATGTAAAATTAATAAAAAAATGGAGAGCTTGGTTTAATTATTAAAAAACAACTAAAAAATAAAATAAGGGGAATAAATTAGTAAAATAGTATCTGGGAGATAATATATTATTCTTAATAAGCATCTTGGTAAAAGGGGAATTGAGGGTGAAAGTAACAAGGGAATAGATAAATCAAGGCTTAAAGGTATAAAGCCCAACCAAAAATGACTAATTAAACAAACAGATATGTAATACATTTTAGAGTTATATGTTAAAGTTTAAGGTCCAGTAGAGAGTTTAAGTTTAAGGGATGCAGACAAAAACTAGTCACAAACTTAATTCTAACCAATCAGGATATTGATAACTAATATTAAGATAGGAATTTGCTGTTTTGATAATTGAGTTTGAAATGTTTAACCATGAGTCATTATTGTTGATTTGATTCAAATTATGTAGAAAATTATTTGCTGGGGTTGGTAAATTAAGATTAGAGATATTCTATTTTTTAAGGATTATAGGAGTATATTTGTTTGATTTATTGAGATTATGTAAAAATAAAGGTTTAATGAATAAAGAGATACAGATTGGTCTATTATCTGATAAAAAATCAATTTCATTTAAAATGTTAAAATTTTTAACATAAGAGCTCATTTTTATACTTGTGATGAAATAATCTATCTGGCTTTTATATGGAGAATTGGGTTTGAAGTATGAGTGATATTTATTGTTTCTTTGTTTATAAAAAGAGTTGATTATTTAAAGTAGCAAAACAATAAGAGAATTAGTGATTTCATTACATAATTTCATGTTAAGGTCCCAATGATGATAAAGTGATTTTTATTGATATCTATAAAATATAAAAGATTAAATAAAAAATTAAATAGGCCTGTTTTCCATTCAAATAAAGATATGGCATTCCATTATTTCTCGGAGATGGCATTTTAAAGGCAAATATTTTAAATGTATCTACTGAAGAAAATATATAAAACGATTTAACATCAGCCATTTTCCCGCAGACGATTTTTTCATCTGGTACCAAGCATCATTAACCTAAAAAATTTGACGGGAAATTCAAAAAAATCGCCTCAGCATCATCAGCTCCAGAATAATGTTTCTTGATTGACATGAGTACTTTTTCAAAAAAAGATCATTATAAAAATTACATTGATCTAAATATACTCTGATATGTAAATACATTATAATCGAACAATATGATCTGAAAATACTCCACAAATAAGCTTAAAGGAGTATATAAAAAAATGGAGTATTTTTAAAACGTTACACTTCTTTCTTCAATAACCCTTCCAATAGTACTGAAATTCCGTTCACTGGAAACATTAGATGCTGGAATTGCATGAATTTTTTTTGGCTAATCTTGCTAATTTTGGCACGATTTTTTCATGCTTCTTCCACCAATCTAGGATGCAGTCATCATAGTTGATATCCTCTTCATTTATCATCAGCATCCGTTTCATTATGAAGTATTGTATCATCCTCCCATGAAGACATATCCAATAATGAGGATGAAGCTCAAAATATTATATAGCTAAAAAGATTTATAAAGAATAAATTACTGGTAGCTCTAGTAATCCTCGAAGTAGGAATAGGAACATACACATGCACTTCATCCAGATCTGAAGTATCTAAAAATATTATATAGATAAAGATATTTATAAAATATATGTTACTTGAAGCTCTAGGGATATTTGCTTCATCTAGATCATATATAGGAATTGGATGATGATCTGAATAATCAATCATTAAGGCCCTTGTACTATTTTTTACTTCAAGTGCTTCTTCCAAAGTAAGCATTTTTAACTGGCGGAATTTAGGATTTAAAAATGTAGCGATTTTGTGCAAAATATCTATTTGGAATTTCGATATTAAAAATTCCTTTGCTCTTAATTTTAACTTTCTAATTTCACTATCATTTTGTTACGCTTCGTATAAAATATCAGACACTGGTAACTTTTCCAATGTTTTATAAATTAATAAAACTTTAAATAATGTAGGACTTCTATCTCCCTCCAGCTCCTTGGTTGCCTGATCATATGGGGTCAACATGTCTATTAATGATTTCAACCCATTTTTTATCAATAGAATTAAGCTTATCCTCCATATTTCTTTTCTGTAAACAATCTAAAATTTCTTCATATTGTTCATAAATACTTTACATTTTTAATTTCGAATTCCACCTTGTTAAGATATCTTGGTAAACAGTCTTTGATAAACTCTTATTTAATCCACTTTGCTTAAAAAATCTTGTTAGTGATTTACATTGAAGAATAAGGTTATATAATAAGAGTATAGATATTTGCATATATTTTGGAGAAAAAGTTTTTCTTAGAATAGTGTTAATGAGATGAGCAGAACAGTTTAACCGTTTATATGGTTCTAAAGCCTTTATCAAATTGCTACCTTGATCAGTGATGAATATGATTTTATAAAATGTATCAGAAGCATATCCAAGTTTAGCAAAATTAGAAACAAGTTCTTTGTGTATATTTTCACTTGTTTTATTATCTTCTAAAAAAGAGAAGTTAACAAAACACGTTTTATTAATTTCCATTTAATTATGTAGTGAAGAGTTAATGTTATATATGTGTACTTTTTGAAGTCATCTGTGTATAAATCAGTTGTTGCACTACAAAAAGAATTTATTAAAGCATTTTGTACTTCTGGGAATATTTTTTTGTGCAAATTTTGAGAAATATCATTCATATGCCTTGATATAGTTATAAGACTTGGCTATATTTTCAACATCAATCAAACCCTTCTTTGAACCAACTTCAATAAAATATTGTGCTAAATGTTTAAAGCCTTTACCAGCTATACATTCAAATGGGCGAATATCCACAGCACAAAATTTTACACATCCATTGATAACTTCCTTTTTTTCATTTGTATATGATGTTTTATCATTTTTAATTGGATAAAAAGAAGATAATTTAATTATAGGATTTGGTTTACATGTCTTGATAAATGGGATGATCCTACTTTATTTGAATATGAAAGTATGTCTTGGCATCTTTTACATTGGACATATCCGATTTTATTATTATGATTGTCTATTATTATACTAAAAGAATCCCAGACCTTGCTCTTCAATGAGTTGTTTGCTAATAATTTGTATTCTTGAGAATGTAATTTTTTAACTATTTCTTGATTTTTATTCATTATATCTAAAAAAAATATTAAAATACTACAATTTATTACAAAGGAAAAAGTCATATAATACCCATCCCATATATAAAAAAAACATAAAAAAATAAATTAGTTCAGAAAAAAGAGTATGTTATGTAATTTTTCTCAAAATATAAATAATATTTATTACCTATATTAGCTATACACTCTAAACCAGTTGTGTTGAATTCGGTACGAAACAGCGAAAACCAAAAGCGAAAAATAAAAAATGTTCCCATTTATGTATGACTCCACTAAAAAAGTCATAAATTTAAATAATATATATATTGTTAAAATATTAATAATAATGCTATTATCTTATATATTTTGATATATTAAATATTTATTATATTTTTAATTAAATATATTATGATTAATATTAATTTTTTAAAGATATTATAAAAATGATTTATATAAAATTATTTAATCTAGAGCAATAAATATGTAATAATTTTTTTTCAAAATTATTACCTAATGTGCCTAATATAAAATATATTTATGTAGAACAATATTCAATATTTTTATCATAGCATAGACCATTTATAATACAATAATATTGCTAAATATCTACCAAAATTATACATAGCATACAGTAATTAATTTTCAAATATATATCTCCTTTTGTATATATCCCCTTTTGTATTTAATATTTTGGTATAAATTATATGTCATTGATTGCATATAGATTCCTTCAAAAGTCAGGATAATCTGATCATTTTTGTTGTACTTCTAAATATGGTTTAATAAGTTCCATTGATATTTTATATATATAATTACTTCTTAAAATGGATATTTTTATGTTTGCTATATCATGTGAATTAATTGATATTATGTTTAGAAGTGTGTAAGACCTGCTTAAAATTGTATCATTTTTTGTCATTCAATAC